ACTCATGGTTGATACTTACAACGTACGACATAATTACAACAAAGCCTTGTCTGTACTGAGAACATCAACATGTATCTGACCATTAATTATATGATACGTGTAGGTGTGTGCATTATTTTTTAATACCTCAGAAGGTGAATATTTTGGTGTGGCTGACTCATCTTCACATAGTTTTCATTGCATTGAAAAACGTTTGTTTCTTGTCCACGGCTACCTTTATCATTGTAAGTTGTATCTTAACTTTAGACAAATACACATGTGTACCACCCAGGTGACAACTGCATAAAATATAACTGATGGTTTGGGCTATGGACAGTATGGATATCTTAAAAGCATGACCCTTGCACAAACAGCTACGCCGAATGGGGCTGCTAGTCTATTACTCTATTACTTCCTTAACTAAAATTTGATTCGCACATACTTTTGTTAGTATATATGTATGTAAGTATCACTTGCAATTTCCGAAATTTAGTTTTCTTGGCAAATCTAGTGCAATGGCTATATATACTAGTTTATGGGAGGCTCCTCTATACCAAGAAATGACAACAAGCAAGTTCAATAAACGTTGCCACTAGGCGATATTGTTTAGCTACTCTGGATCGAATACGGATGTGCTGACTCTTTAGTTGTGATTCTCTACCGACCTGTCAGTGAAGTAGGGCACAAAATAAACTTTTGTTTACGTAATAGTCATACAGCCGACTTGATATCATAATGCAGTAGTCATCAAGTCACTAGAGCATGGAAATTGCGAGCAAGGGTTTTGTTCAATATTCAGGCTGTTCGTGCAAAATTTTTTGGTGGTACATGCCGCCTTATTACTAAATTAGCATATATATATTTCTAGTGTTGCCTGCACACGCAATGTGTTGCTCGCATGTAAGCAACATATATATGGGGTGATGTGAAATTTTGTTTGCGTACAATGCGCACTGGCTTTAGACGTGTAAGAACTTGTCAAGAAATCACACAAACTATGTGGCCAGTGTACAATTCTGGTAGTTTGTATGTTTTATTTTAGCAGTTCGATTTAACTCAAGCATGCAATAAATAAATTTACCCCTAAAATGAGTGCACACCTTATTTTCGTAGTGTGCCATTATCGTGGTACAGTACCTTCAGGTTGTGTTGCCGGGTATTTCTGTATGGTTACTTCGATGTTGTGGAAGTACTCTGTCCGTAATGTTTACATAATACCTAATAATTAATACTAATACACATTTGTTGTTTTAAATTTAAATCGACTAATGTAAGGTTATAACTTCTATATAAAACCGGATACGTGCTGTCGGATTCATATTGTAGCAAGACTAAATCTATTCAATGTTTTTGCAACAACTTGGAAGAATCAAGGTTGTTTTTTCTTAGTAAATTGAATGACGGGGTCCAACCTTGGCATTGGAGCTCGCTGCACTTGTACAGGGCACAAAATATTTTTGCACCGGCCCAGAAGTCTGGTAACCGCAATTTTTTACCAGCCCTCACAAATTTTGTTTGTAAAATCAATGTCATGTTTCACGCTTGCATTCTCGATTTCAAATTTGTAAAATGTTGTTAAATTATGGTGTGATATCCGTTAGGTAAAACAGTAATGTAGGCTATTTGCTCATAAATGTAGGTACTCGCTAAAACGGCTGAAACCACCGGCTCGGAGGGCGGGTGTTTTGCCAATGTGACTGGCCCTCCAAATAATTTGCCAGCATATGCCGGTGAGCCAGTGCTAATTTCGCTCCCTGCTTATAAGATTAAATGTGAACCACGATTTATTCACTCGATAGGAAATCTCACTGCGCAATACGCAGAATTTGTTTTGGTGTAAAATTACATGCGTATGCGAGGACTCTATTGTTTCCAGCTTCGCTGCGATAAAATGCTGCACAGACCGTTCGTTTTCACCATGGATTAGCTTTAACTAGCTCTAGTGAGGTGGATTGTTGCTGTTCCCTCATTGATCAGTTGTTTTCGTGCCTGTCCCCAGGTGGCTCTCACCACTCTTGTTGGATCTCCATTAATTGACCTATCCACTGGTCATGATTGACGGGAAACGCTGACCAATCACTGTTGAGCTGAGACATAAATCGTTCTTCGTAACAACGTGTCGAATAGTGAACATTTTCACCTGCACGCGTGAAAAAACGTGCAAACTGGCATTGCTTGACTCAGCTAATGACACGTTCCAAGGGGGCATGGTTACCTCCTCCGTCAGAGCGTAGATCAATTGTTTCACAATTCATGCGGAGTGCATTCTTTACTATTAAGTTATGCGTCAGTTATTGTCAATATTGTAGCTTCAGCTGGTTTTGTCTATGACTTTGTCTTGTCTGTAACTTATTTGGCAATCACCAGAATAGCTGGATATAAGTGGCATCATTGACACTTTTATGGGGGTAAAATATTTTTAAGGCAATGCTAATTGCTATTGTTTTTTAGGGGTGTAATCAGAAATTTAAGGCACCGCAGTAATTTCGAGATACACCTAGGCAGAGGCACCCCTTCACCGTAAAAGGTATCTTGCTGTTTTTAAAACGGCACTTCATGCGACGTAAAGTGGTCTACACATGCTACGCGGGATTTCGTAGGAAGGGGTGCAGAGGTGAACCAGGTAGGGCAGCCTCAGCAGGTTATTGCCGTGGCGATATCGGGCAACTGCGGCCGCACGGCGAGCGAGGAGAGAAAGCGAGGCTCTCGCCCCCGTTGCCGTGGCGAAATGGAAGCCCCGGTCGTGAGAGACTAATGCTACTCATTAGCCGCGCGCATGAGCCGTTGATGGTTTCCCCTATTAGAAGACGGAGTGCTGCGCTGGCGTTTGCCGCGGTCACCGCTCCGAACTCGCCGCACCCCGTCGGTTTTCGAGTAGCGGGGCGATTCGATTTCGATTAAACGCTGTATGCGCGCGTGTTGGGGAGTCGTAAAGGTGCGTTCGCTCGACGCGCGCGATCCTCGATGTTTGTCGAGCGACGTTCGTATGTTTCGATCGGCGTCTGCTCGTGATTGAACGGCTCGGACGCGCTGGCATTGCTTATTGTGAATACATCCAGCGAGAAAGACGTGTAGGTATCCGCTACTATTGTTTGTCGTCGTCAACCGGCTGGTGTTCGAGACGACCACCAGAGCGCGCCGCGTGTTCAGTGTGCGACGTCGTCTCGAGTTCCTGTCGACAGACGTGATCAATCGGCTGCGATGGCCGCGGCGAAATTTCGTCGGTTATTTTACTTTCGAGCTCGAGTAGCGATCGATGGTGCGAGGGTGGGCGCGTGGGAAGGCAACGGACACCGCGTGAGCAGGCAGGAGGGTCTCGAGCAGTCGGTGAGGGGGTTCTCTGCGTTTCTCTCTTCTTTTTTAACTCGGCGAGGGAGCGGGGAGTACGGGAAGATGTGCGAGGCGAGTTGAGTCGCCAGCCGCTCGCGCTTCCGTAATTTGAGGAGAGGCGTTTAAGAGAGATTGTAGATCCGCGGTGGACAGTGTGCGGTAGAAGAAAGCACGGAGCAAGTCGTGAAGTGTGCGGTAGAAGACTGGGCAAGTCCTGAAGTGTGCGGTAGAAGACTGGGCAAGTCGTGAAGTGTGCGGTAGAAGACTGGGCAAGTTCTGAAGTGTGCGGTAGAAGACTGGGCAAGTCGTGAAGTGTGCGGTAGAAGACTGGGCAAGTCGTGAAGTAAGCGGGTGATTAGTGTCTTTAGGCGTGTTTGTTTCTGTTCATGAATGATAATTTTGGCGGCTGTATACTTCAAGTAAACCAGAATGTAAATCATATCTGCTTCCAACATCCAGATGTGCTAGATTGGTGGAGGATCAAAGGCAAATCGGTATCCCACCTAGTAGAAATCCTAGTCAAATGGAGTATTCAAATTTGAAGAAAAAAGAAATTAAGTGTGTGAAAGTAGCAAGCAGGCATTTTATTTTAAAGAAAATTTGACACAGGTGACCAGCTACCAGAAAATTTTTTTTTTAATGTTTTAAAACTAGCGAATACAGTTTGGTTACAACGACGGTGGCGCCACTCAAAGCGCACCATCTGAAAAGTTGCGCAAACCGACTTTTCAGCCAAGGGCTACAGACCGAGGGTGTTTCTTATTTATTAATTTAAAAGTAAAAGGATTGTAATATTTTATTAACGACATATAGTTTCAGTTATATTATGGATAAATTTATCCTAAAATGAACATCGTTCGGTTAAATAGCATTTAGGTATAAATATAATTGCACCTTTGTGATTAGCCCTCAGTCTGTAACGTGCAAAATATATTGGGAAATGCGCAACTTTTTTAGGGTGGCAGCACGGTCGCGGGTGTCAATGGCGCCGTTCAAATTTCGTAGCATTGATGTATAATTAATTATAACAATTAAATATAGTATAGACAATTTGTTATACAGTAAGTACAGTTGTATGCAGTAAAATCCTAGAGTCTAGTACTTATCCCTTTAATTACCTGTGCCACGGCATGAATGCAGCCAAATTTATCAATTGGTAATTGTGGAGACTGAGACCGACACCCTGACCTTGCTTCAGAGTACCTGGGCTTCAGTGTACACACGTTCACAAAGTATTGATTCACGGGTTCGTTGTTCAATTCTGTTCTCATGATTCTCATGTCAGAGTTGTATTCATTGATTCATCGCTATATGATATTAAATGGTAACTGGAGGACAGCAGTGCATGCTGTATGACCTCATCATCAGGAATATTAGTCCTGGAAAACTCTGATAGCGATTCGCTTCCGCGCATGTTTATAACCCATTATGTACCAGGGGCATGTACAGGATTTGTACCAGGGGGGGGGGTATAACTGTAACCCAAACTTGCAAGCACGCGAAGGGGGGGTCTGGGGGCCCTCCCCCAAAAAATATTTGAAATTAGACCCCCTTAGATGCGTTTTCTGTGCGAGCAGGGGTGGGTCCGGACCCCCTGGACCCCCCTCCCCCTGTAGGGCCTGTACACGCCCCTGTGTACGGTAATGCCTTCTGCCTCGCGATGATCGTGAAAGTGATGTGATTGCCTTGTTCTCCTACTAAGTCATCATTCTTCTAACCTCGTAAGCTCCTAATAATTACTCCCCGCTGTCTGAGGGACCATGTCAAAGACAGGGTTCGATGTCGTAATCCCTGTGTTACTCACTAACTAATAATTTGTCTTGCTATTAACTGCAAGCGCAGTAATCGTCGACGCGGCATCGCTGCTGATTCGTCATTGACTGATTGAGTGTGAGGGTGTGTCAGAGAGCTCGGGTGTATCAGCTGTGTCAGAGAGCTCGGGTGTATCAGCTGTATCAAGAGCATATTAAGAAGGTTCTTTATAAGCTCTTGGCTGTTTACAACTACAATGTCTGTTTACACCCCCACTATGTAATAGATAACTATTAGACCTGAGCGAGGGTCTAATTAGACTTGTTTGCTTGGGAGAGCTTGCTTTGTTGTAGCTGATGCTGACAGAGGCAGGACTGCGTGTCGTCTTGAAACGACAGTCATCGTTTGAATCTATTAGAAACTGTTCTCAAAACATGTAGCAGCGCGCGCACACTTTTTGTGGCAGAGGCATGGGCACGCACGACAGCGTTTGTTGTGTGAGTCACACGTGTTGTGAAACTCGTAACTAACGTGTTGACTGTACTCGGTAAATACCATGGATTATAATCTTGCATCCTCATCGCATGGGAAATAGACCGTTCAGGTATATAGAAAATTAATTCTATTATATAATATGGACGTTTACTTACACCTTTTTTGAGATCCAAAGATTGTCGATATGTGAGTCAGTGGAGCAGTAATGGGTTGAATAACGTCCATCACATAAAATTAAACATAATAAATTGTCAATTACGTAATGCTCTATCAATTTAAAACCTGTTTTACAAACATAGTCTGCTGGCCTACATGTCGGCAGACGTTTTAGTAGGAATCTATTGTGAAGCATGAAATGATGACTGCCCTCTGACATCATGCGTTCATTTGTTGTTTATAGTCTTTGATTTTATAGATAAAGCATTACGGTTCTCGGTTCTCGGCAGATGACAAGTCGAATTAAATACAGTGCAGCATGATCAAGCGTGTACTGTAGAATGAGAAATGTGCAGTGTATCTATCGCTGGCTGCAGCATCCACGTGTATATATTAACATTGTGTTGCAAAAAAATGCCACTCTGCGACAGATTTATTCAAAAGCACTGTCAACGCTTCGCCTGCGAAAGCTTTTTAGGCCGTAATAAATTGTAGAATGAGCCGGCGAGGTGAGATGCGGTGGTGGCTGTCACTCCGTGAGTGGGTAGCGGGTCTCTCGCAAAGCCCACACGCTGCGTGGGGCGGACGCATTAGCATCCTGATGTCTTGTTTAGTAGCCGGCGGCGTAGATGTCGTGATTAAAAAAGGACATCTGTCATCGAATCACGTCATCGTATCGGTCTTTTAGTATAAAAGTAAAAAAGGTAGAATATTAAAACCTGGGCCCCCCTCCCCCCGGGGGGTAGGTATTTAGGAGTGTGGTCCCCCCACGTGACTGGTTTAGTATCGTCGTCTGCTGTTTACGTTTTTGTTTTAGGGGCTGTTTGGGATTTTTTTATTGCTGTTGATGCAGTCGTTACATTCGCCTCTCGTTTTGTTTGTAGGGAGTTCTGAGCGAACCAAGGATCGCCCGACGCACTCGTACGCCAACCCTGCGACACCGCCGCCGCCGCGCGCACGAAGAGTTGAACGTTCATCTGTTTTGCGGTGCGCGTCGTCTGCCGCGCACACGAGAGCTCCACCCTGGCTTCTGCAGGCGTGGCGAAGATGTCCAACATGCCGAGGACGCCCCTGACGACGGTACATGAGTCGTTGCCGTCGTCTGCTCTCAGTAGAACGGTGAGTAGCGCTGAAGGGGTCGTTGTCGTATCAGGTACTACAGATATGTACCCGAGGTACATATATGTATACACAAAGTGTACCAGACTTGTACTACAGAAGTGTACCCTAACCCTAACCCTAACCCTAGCCTTAACCCTAACCCTAACCCTGACCCTAACCCTAAACATACCTCAT